CACTGGGGAGGGTCGCCAAGGCAGGCTGGCCCCAGGGCTGAGGCTCCTCTCCCTTCTCCCCTTTCCTCGTGGGTGTGGCTGTGGCTTTTCCATTCTGCAGACGGTTGACTTAAGTTTTACAGAAAAATTTCTTGCCACACAGAGGGAAACGGGATGCTTGAAGGTGGTCAGGACACCAGGAGTGTTTAAACGTGCTGGGTGCAGCCGTGGCCCGCCCCCAACAGCGAGAGGAGAGGCAGGGGAAGGGTGCAGAAATAACTCCCAGCGCAGGGTGGAATCTGTGGTCACCGTGCCTTCGCAGCAACCCGGAGTTTTCTATTTTTGTGTGTCTTATAATTATGTGTAATTCTATTTTTATCCAAAGTGTGGTCCACCAGCCAAAAGAGAAAACAAACCCCCAAGCCCCTTCTTTTTAGCTGCTAACCTCAGGCTGGCACCGATGTGAGCTCACGGACGGTCACCAGGAAACCCCTAGCATCTCGTGAGAAATGCAGCAGCCCTGGAATTGTCTCTCGAGAGATCACTTTCCTTTTCCTTTAAATGGGGGGGAGGGGTATGTTCGGCTGAACCACACCGGCTTGCCCACGTTGCTGCCCTGGACCGATGTGTACCACTCCATCTTAATTTCTGGCGGTCCCAGGGCCTGCTTACCAGGCAAAGGTTCCACTGCTTAGCCATGGATGACTCCAGTTGTTTTTGTGTTAGTCTATTTTCTCAGCTTTTCACTGGAGCTGGCCTCAGACCTCCACCCTTCTATCTAGGCCTCCTAGGTAGCTGGGATTTCAGGCATGAGGTACCCGTGTCTGGGAATAATTTGTGAGTAAGTGACCATTCCAAGTTTCATAACTGCTCCAAAACGCCTCATTTTCCTTCAGAAATCATCTGCACTGACACATTGATGCCACCCTGTGCCTGAGACACACGGACAGCAGCAAGGAGGCTGGCCCTACAGCACAGTGCTGTGGCGTGGACACACGGACAGCAGCAAGGAGCCTGGCCCTTCAGCACAGTGCTGTGGTGCATGGACACACGGACAGCAGCAAGGAGGCCTGGCCCTTCAGCACAGTGCTGTGGTGCATGGACACACGGACAGCAGCAAGGAGGCCAGGCCCTTCAGCACAGTGCTGTGGTGCATGGACACACGGACAGCAGCAAGGAGGCTGGCCCTTCAGCACAGTGCTGTGGTGCATGGACACACGGACAGCAGCAAGGAGGCTGGCCCTTCAGCACAGTGCTGTAGTGCATGGACACACGGACAGCAGCAAGGAGGCTGGCCCTTCAGCACAGTGCTGTGGTGCATGGACACACGGACAGCAGCAAGGAGGCTGGCCCTTCAGCACAGTGCTGTGGTGCATGGACACACGGACAGCAGCAAGGAGGCTGGCCCTTCAGCACAGTGCTGTGGTGCACGGACACACGGACAGCAGCAAGGAGGCCTGGCCCTTCAGCACAGTGCTGTGGTGCATGGACACGGACAGCAGCAAGGAGGCCTGGCCCTTCAGCACAGTGGTGTGGTGCATGGACACACGGACAGCAGCAAGGAGGCCTGGCCCTTCAGCACAGTGCTGTGGCGTGGACACACGGACAGCAGCAAGGAGGCCTGGCCCTTCAGCACAGTGCTGTGGCGTGGACACACGGACAGCAGCAAGGAGCCTGGCCCTTCAGCACAGTGGTGTGGTGCATGGACACACGGACAGCAGCAAGGAGGCTGGCCCTTCAGCACAGTGCTGTGGCGTGGACACACGGACAGCAGCAAGGAGCCTGGCCCTTCAGCACAGTGGTGTGGTGCATGGACACACGGACAGCAGCAAGGAGGCTGGCCCTTCAGCACAGTGCTGTGGTGCATGGACACACGGACAGCAGCAAGGAGGCTGGCCCTTCAGCACAGTGCTGTGGCGTGGACACACGGACAGCAGCAAGGAGGCCAGGCCCTTCAGCACAGTGCTGTGGTGCATGGACACACGGACAGCAGCAAGGAGGCTGGCCCTTCAGCACAGTGGTGTGGTGCACGGACACACAGACAGCAGCAAGGAGGCCTGGCCCTTCAGCACAGTGGTGTGGTGCATGGACACACAGACAGCAGCAAGGAGGCCTGGCCCTTCAGCACAGTGCTGTGGCGTGGACACACGGACAGCAGCAAGGAGGCCTGGCCCTTCAGCACAGTGCTGTGGTGCATGGACACACGGACAGCAGCAAGGAGGCTGGCCCTTCAGCACAGTGGTGTGGCGTGGACACACGGACAGCAGCAAGGAGGCCTGGCCCTTCGGCACAGTGCTGTGGTGCATGGACACACGGACAGCAGCAAGGAGGCCTGGCCCTTCAGCACAGTGCTGTGGTGCACGGACACACGGACAGCAGCAAGGAGGCCTGGCCCTTCAGCACAGTGCTGTGGTGCACGGACACACGGACAGCAGCAAGGAGGCCTGGCCCTTCAGCACAGTGCTGTGGTGCACGGACACATGGACAGCAGCAAGGAGGCCTGGCCCTTCAGCACAGTGCTGTGGCGTGGACACACGGACAGCAGCAAGGAGGCCTGGCCCTTCGGCACAGTGCTGTGGTGCATGGACACACGGACAGCAGCAAGAAGGCCAGGCCCTAGAGCACAGTGCTGTGGTGCACGGACACACGGACAGCAGCAAGGAGGCCTGGCCCTTCAGCACAGTGGTGTGGGGCATGGACACACGGACAGCAGCAAGGAGGCCAGGCCCTACAGCACAGTGGTGTGGTGCATGGACACACGGACAGCAGCAAGGCCAGGCCGTTCAGCACAGTGGTGTGGCGCACGGACACACGGACAGCAGCAAGGAGGCCTGGCCCTTCAGCACAGTGGTGTGGTGCATGGACACACGGACAGCAGCAAGGAGGCCTGGCCCTTTGGCACAGTGCTGTGGTGCACGGACACACGGACAGCAGCAAGGAGGCCTGGCCCTTCGGCACAGTGCTGTGGTGCACGGACACACGGACAGCAGCAAGGAGGCCTGGCCCTTCGGCACAGTGCTGTGGTGCATGGACACACGGACAGCAGCAAGGAGGCCAGGCCCTTCAGCACAGTGCTGTGGTGCACGGACACACGGACAGCAGCAAGGAGGCCTGGCCCTTCAGCACAGTGCTGTGGTGCGGACACATGGTGCTGGCAGCTGTTAGCGGGCTGTGGACATGGTTGTTAAAATGCGAAGCTCTCTGCACCCACTGCCAGCTTTATCCTCCAGTCAGCAGCTCTAATTCCTCCAGCCCCGCCTGGCAGACACTGCCCAGCGCGTGATGACAAAGGCTCGGCCCCGACACCCCGGCTCTGTGGACAGGGCCCATGCCAACGTCACCTACTGTAACTGGCGCCCGGCCATTACCTCTCCACTGCTGATTCCGAAGCCTCCTCTGTTAACAGACTGATTTCCTCTCCTATTTAATATCTTTTCCACTCAGCAATAATGTGCTTTCATTCAGTGAAGCGCATAGCGGGAAACAGGAGGAATAAGTACCTACAGTTATTTAAAGGCAGGCATTACCCAGCCTTTTCCATCTGGAAGGCAGAAACTTAAAATGTCACACCGGCTGCTGTGTGCTGATGTGTCTCCTGCATTCCTCCCATCAAGCAGCTAACAAAGTAGGTATTAATTGGCACCACAAACACCACCCGAATATCATCCACAGCGCCGCTAAAGTGCTCCTTCCGCACCTTGCCCACAGACTCTGGTGGCTGATTGCTGCGTTGGCACATGGCCATTTGTCTCTGTGGCCTCCTGCCCTTTTGAGCTTTTTATTTACCTAAGTGGAATAAAATAAAAATACAGGTGCCCTGCTGGCTTGCCTCAGTCTCTAAATAACAGGGCTGGGCACCAATTCTGCGATGTTGGGGTGCGGGGGAAAAGGTTCTCGACAGTACCATGTGGTGTGGCCCAGGCCAGCAGTCAGCCGGTGGGTTCAGAGCTCACGAGGTGCCAGGCCTGGCGCAGGGCTGGTGATGGCTTTCTAGGGCCTGCCAGGTTCCCACCCCCTCATCTGGGCAGAGAAGCCATGGGCCACAGACACACCCTCGTGATCACCCGCCAACGTCCTGCGATCGTGGGCACTACCCGAAAGGAGGTCCCGTGCCCCTCTCCTGACGTGCTGAGCCGGGCTAGGGGGCCAGCGCTGCCCCGCGGGGCGCTCTGGGGAGGGAGGGTGCCGTCGGAACTGCCACACCAGGAGCCTGGTCTGCAGGTGCAGGCTCCAGGCTGCGGACCTTGGCAGACGATTCAATGACGGCAGACGTGGGCGAGCCGCCCCAGCAGCACACGCCCCGACGGCGCTCACTGCCAGGACCCCACTCGCACCTTTCAGCCTTCCCGTGGCCCGTGCTGCCCCCGGAGGACTGTACTTTTTGGGTTTTGTGCCAGGCCCAGATAGGCGGGGAACCGTGCTGGGTGCTCGTGGCTGAGTAAGTATGCTCTGGCTTTGGTATTTTCAGTTGACAACGGGTTTCCTGGGTGTAACCGTGTCTTTAGTCAAGGAACATCAGTCTTGAGAAAACAACTAGCAGACTCCATACTTGCATGTTACATATTCATAATACATGGCCAGCTGGTCTTGGCTGTTTTGTTTTTGTTTGGGGACTGGGGTTTGAACTCAGGTCCTCATGCTTGCTACCCAAGTGGTCTACCACTTAAAACCACCTCCAGCCTGCCTTTCCTTTAGTTACCTTCCAGGTAGCTAAAGATAGCTCATACTTTCTACCCAGGGCCAGACCGGTCCTCAGTCCTCTGGCCTGTGCCTCCGCTTAGCTAGGATTACAGGCAGGGTGACTGCACCCAGCTTGTTTATTGACATGGGGTTTTGCTAACAATCCCAGGATGGCCTAACACCTCCGTCCTCCTACTGTCTACCTCTTGAGTAGCTGGGGCTGGAGACCTTCCTCACCACACCCACCTGGCTTCCGTTTTTAATCAGAGACCCCTCTGGTGCTCCACTAAGAGTTGCTAGCTCCCGGCAGCGTGGGCGGGTGGGCGCAGCAGACCCCGTACCTGCACAACGGGGTGTCCCCCGGAGGATGCCTTCACAGCGCCCCGGCTGCCCTCCGTCTCGTAGTGAGCCCGGTGGTGGGACTTGGGCTGCACCTCGATCTGCAGCTCGTAGGGGCCGGAGTGGGATGGCAGCTGCCAGTCCAGGGCGGGCAGCGATGGGCTGGAAGGGAACAGAGGCCGGTGAGCACGGGGGGCAGCAATGGGCTGGAAGGGAACAGAGGCCGGTGAGCACGGGGGGCAGCGATGGGCTGGGAGGGAACAGAGGCCAGTGAGCACGGGGGGCAGCGATGGGCTGGGAGGGAACAGAGGCCTGTGAGCACGGGGGGCAGCGATGGGAGGGAACAGAGGCCGGTGAGCACGGGGGGCAGCGATGGAAGGCCTGGGACAGGGAGGGGGGGTAGCCTGCCCTGCCCCTCCTCCATGCCCCTCAGGGCAGAGAGGGCCTTCACCACAGCCCCATCCATGATCACACACAGCCCATCCATGATCACACACAGCCCATCCATGATCACACACAGCCCATCCATGATCACACACAGCCCCATCCATGATCACACACAGCCCATCCATGATCACACACAGCCCATCCATGATCACACACAGCCCCATCCATGATCACACACAGCCCCAGTGGAAGGGTCTTCACCACAGCCCCCTCAGTGCCTGGCTTTGGCCTGAGGACCAAATGTGGTCAGAGTCCCAGGGCTCCACAAGTGAGGAGCTGCAGGCTCTTGCCAGTTATTCAGCCTTCCCAACAAGAGAGAGGCCAGCGGCACACAAGGAGAGCCCCAAGGTCTGTCTCTGAGTGACCCCAGGAGGCAGGACAGGGGGACAGACAGACCAGCCTCTTGAGGCCTGGACAGGAGGGCAGACAGACGTGCCTCCTGGACAGGGGGACAGGCAGACTGGCCTCCCGAGGGAGGCCCCAGGTGGGGAGTTCTGGGGCCAGGTGGCTGCGGCCCCATCGCGATCCCTCTGACAAGGCGCGTCGCTGCATCGCGCCCTGCAGGCCCCCAGGGAGCTTCACTGTGTGGGTGGGCACAGAGTCACCTCTGTGGAAAGCCGTGCCCGCCGGTGCCCACCGGTGCCCTCCACGCCAAGGGGCCCTGCCACGGGGCCATGCCCTCCACGCCAAGGGGCCCTGCCACGGGGCCGTGCCCTCCACGCCAAGGGGCCCTGCCACGGGGCCGTGCCCGCCGGTGCCCACCGGTGCCCTCCACGCCAAGGGGCCCTGCCACGGGGCCGTGCCCTCCACGCCAAGGGGCCCTGCCACGGGGCCGTGCCCGCCAGTGCCCACCGGTGCCCTCTACGCCGAGGGGCCCTGCCACGGGGCCGTGCCCGCCAGTGCCCTCCACGCCGAGGGGCCCTGCCATGGGGCCATGCCTGCCGGGGCCCGCCGGTGCCCTCCACGCCAAGGGGCCCTGCCACGGGGCCGTGCCCGCCGGTGCCCACCGGTGCCCTCCACGCCAAGGGGCCCTGCCATGGGGCCGTGCCCTCCACGCCAAGGGGCCCTGCCACGGGGCCGTGCCCTCCACGCCAAGGGGCCCTGCCACGGGGCCATGCCCGCCGGTGCCCGCCTGTGCCCTCCACGCCAAGGGGCCCTGCCACTGGGCCGTGCCTGCCCGTGCCCACCGGTGCCCTCCACGCCGAGGGGCCCTGCCATGGGGCCGTGCCCACCAGTGCCCGCCGGTGCCCTCCACGCCGAGGGGCCCTGCCACGGGGCCGTGCCCGCCAGTGCCCTCCACGCCGAGGGGCCCTGCCACGGGGCCGTGCCCGCCAGTGCCCTCCACGCCGAGGGGCCCTGCCACGGGGCCATGCCCGCCGGTGCCTGCTGGTGCTCTCCATGCCGAGGAGCCCTGCCATGGGGCCTGCAGGCCACTTCCCGAGCCCACCAGCCGTGCCCACCCTGGCAGCTCTGCCAGGAGAAGAGCGGAGGAGCAGAGGGCCGGGCAGAGCTGGCAGACACCTACCTCGGGGCCAGAGGAGGCCGAGGAACTTGGCGCAGCCGTGGGCCTGAGCACGAAGGCCGGGCCTGCTGACCACACAGCAGCTCCGTCCTCTGCTGCCCATAGCAAGGGAAACGAGCACTGCCTGCATCCTGCGGAGGGCTGGGTTCAGCTAATCCCAGAAACTTAAAAAATGAGAGGCAGGGAGCGGTAGAGACAGAGAGATGCAACGAAACAAGAGAGATGGAGACAGGGCGTTCACGGGCAGAGAGAGAAACTGAGGCAGAGGCAGGGCGTTCACAGGCAGAGAGACTGAGGCAGAGACAGGGCGTTCACAGGCAGAGAGAGAGACTGAGGCAGAGACAGGGCGTTCACAGGCAGAGAGACTGAGGCAGAGACAGGGCGTTCACAGGCAGAGAGACTGAGGCAGAGACAGGGTGTTCACAGGCAGAGAGACTGAGGCAGAGACAGGGCGTTCACAGGCAGAGAGAGAAACTGAGGCAGAGGCAGGGTGTTCACAGGCAGAGAGACTGAGGCAGAGACAGGGCGTTCACAGGCAGAGAGACTGAGGCAGAGACAAGGGTGTTCACAGGCAGAGAGACTGAGGCAGAGACAGGGCGTTCACAGGCAGAGAGACTGAGGCAGAGGCAGGGCGTTCACAGGCAGAGAGACTGAGGCAGAGACAGGGCGTTCACAGGCAGAGAGACTGAGGCAGAGACAGGGCGTTCACAGGCAGAGAGACTGAGGCAGAGACAGGGTGTTCACAGGCAGAGAGACTGAGGCAGAGACAGGGCGTTCACAGGCAGAGAGACTGAGGCAGAGGCAGGGTGTTCACAGGCAGAGAGACTGAGGCAGAGGCAGGGCGTTCACAGGCAGAGAGAGAAACTGAGGCAGAGGCAGGGTGTTCACAGGCAGAGAGACTGAGGCAGAGACAGGGCGTTCACAGGCAGAGAGACTGAGGCAGAGACAAGGGTGTTCACAGGCAGAGAGACTGAGGCAGAGACAGGGCGTTCACAGGCAGAGAGACTGAGGCAGAGGCAGGGCGTTCACAGGCAGAGAGACTGAGGCAGAGACAGGGCGTTCACAGGCAGAGAGAGAGACTGAGGCAGAGACAGGGCGTTCACAGGCAGAGAGACTGAGGCAGAGACAGGGCGTTCACAGGCAGAGAGACTGAGGCAGAGACAGGGTGTTCACAGACAGAGAGACTGAGGCAGAGACAGGGTGTTCACAGGCAGAGAGACTGAGGCAGAGACAGGGTGTTCACAGGCAGAGAGACTGAGGCAGAGACAGGGCGTTCACAGGCAGAGAGACTGAGGCAGAGGCAGGGCGTTCACAGGCAGAGAGACTGAGGCAGAGACAGGGCGTTCACAGACAGAGAGAGAGACAGAGGCAGAGACAGGGCGTTCACAGGCAGAGAGACTGAGGCAGAGACAGGGTGTTCACAGGCAGAGAGACTGAGGCAGAGACAGGGTGTTCACAGGCAGAGAGACTGAGGCAGAGACAGGGTGTTCACAGGCAGAGAGACTGAGGCAGAGACAGGGCGTTCACAGGCAGAGAGACTGAGGCAGAGGCAGGGTGTTCACAGGCAGAGAGACTGAGGCAGAGACAGGGCATTCACAGGCAGAGAGACTGAGGCAGAGACAGGGCGTTCACAGGCAGAGAGACTGAGGCAGAGACAGGGCGTTCACAGGCAGAGAGACTGAGGCAGAGACAGGGCGTTCACAGGCAGAGAGACTGAGGCAGAGACAAGGGTGTTCACAGGCAGAGAGAGAGACTGAGGCAGAGACAGGGCGTTCACAGGCAGAGAGACTGAGGCAGAGACAGGGCGTTCACAGGCAGAGAGAGAGACTGAGGCAGAGACAGGGCGTTCACAGGCAGAGAGACTGAGGCAGAGACAGGGCGTTCACAGGCAGAGAGACTGAGGCAGAGACAGGGTGTTCACAGGCAGAGAGAGAGACTGAGGCAGAGACAGGGCGTTCACAGGCAGAGAGACTGAGGCAGAGGCAGGGTGTTCACAGGCAGAGAGACTGAGGCAGAGACAGGGCGTTCACAGGCAGAGAAACTGAGGCAGAGACAGGGCGTTCACAGGCAGAGAGAGAAACTGAGGCAGAGGCAGGGTGTTCACAGGCAGAGAGACTGAGGCAGAGACAGGGCGTTCACAGGCAGAGAGACTGAGGCAGAGACAAGGGTGTTCACAGGCAGAGAGACTGAGGCAGAGACAGGGCGTTCACAGGCAGAGAGACTGAGGCAGAGGCAGGGCGTTCACAGGCAGAGAGACTGAGGCAGAGACAGGGCGTTCACAGGCAGAGAGACTGAGGCAGAGACAGGGCGTTCACAGGCAGAGAGACTGAGGCAGAGACAGGGTGTTCACAGGCAGAGAGACTGAGGCAGAGACAGGGCGTTCACAGGCAGAGAGACTGAGGCAGAGGCAGGGTGTTCACAGGCAGAGAGACTGAGGCAGAGGCAGGGCGTTCACAGGCAGAGAGACTGAGGCAGAGACAGGGCGTTCACAGGCAGAGAGAGAAACTGAGGCAGAGGCAGGGTGTTCACAGGCAGAGAGACTGAGGCAGAGACAGGGCGTTCACAGGCAGAGAGACTGAGGCAGAGACAAGGGTGTTCACAGGCAGAGAGACTGAGGCAGAGACAGGGCGTTCACAGGCAGAGAGACTGAGGCAGAGGCAGGGCGTTCACAGGCAGAGAGACTGAGGCAGAGACAGGGCGTTCACAGGCAGAGAGACTGAGGCAGAGACAGGGCGTTCACAGGCAGAGAGACTGAGGCAGAGACAGGGCGTTCACAGGCAGAGAGACTGAGGCAGAGACAGGGCGTTCACAGGCAGAGAGACTGAGGCAGAGACAGGGCGTTCACAGGCAGAGAGAGAGACTGAGGCAGAGGCAGGGCGTTCACAGGCAGAGAGAGAAACTGAGGCAGAGGCAGGGTGTTCACAGGCAGAGAGACTGAGGCAGAGACAGGGCGTTCACAGGCAGAGAGACTGAGGCAGAGACAGGGCGTTCACAGGCAGAGAGACTGAGGCAGAGACAGGGTGTTCACAGGCAGAGAGAGAGACTGAGGCAGAGACAGGGTGTTCACAGGCAGAGAGAGAGACTGAGGCAGAGACAAGGGTGTTCACAGGCAGAGAGAGAGACTGAGGCAGAGACAGGGCGTTCACAGGCAGAGAGACTGAGGCAGAGGCAGGGTGTTCACAGGCAGAGAGAC